AGTCTCTACTTAAAGAAAACTTTCTCTTTTCTGTAGTTGTATTTTATCACTTTAAAAGTCAGTAAAACTGCTGAAACTATGAGAGACATTTGAGGTACTACATTAATGAGTGTGGCTATGACACAAGAGACTGAAGTTGGTCTGGACTTGGTGATCATTTGAGGTCCCTTCCAATCCCTGACATTCTGTGATTTGACTCAGAGACGGTCCAGCTGCCCTGTTAAAATAATAAAAGCAGTAAAAAATACATAATTTAGGGGCTGAGGTGGCTGAAGTTCTATACATACATGTATTCTTTATAATTCACTGCAGAAGATACACTACGCACAGAGAAAGGAGGAGGAATCTTAACCTTCTAAAGTAGAAGCTAGGATACTTCATTTAAAAACATTTTGTGGGCAAATGATTTTGTAATCAGCGTCACAAATGTTTTTGCTTTATTTTCTCCCATCTCATTAGATCGGTTACTACTTTCTTGTACCTTTTTCTGAATAGAAAGACCAGACTGTCATGACCAGCTGCCAGGTGATCCCAGGTGATGTCCTGACTCTTTATTTCCTGTTTCTCAATTACAGGAGAAGTTATACCTCTAGGTGGGCTGACGGATCCTTCTGGGAACCTAATGCTTCTTGGAGATTCCTTCATTGAGCCTCTGAGTGGGAAACTTGCCCGAGTACAGGGAGCTCACCTGCAGCAGGACAAGGTGCTGCCCCACGGTGGCAGTTACCAAGCAGTGCTGGAAGCCGAGTGGCTGCTGTCCCAAAGTCGTGTGGTGGATGCTCTAAAGAAGCTTAAGGCATCAGTTTTGGAAGATAGCTGTCTAGCAGCAGACAGATTGGCAGTGCTAAAGGCTTCAGTAGAAGATATGAAGAAGTCTTTCACTGCTAGATTTTATCATGCAATGCACTGCTTGAAAAGCCTCAAGAAAAAACAAGAAATAGCTTCAAAGGTCAAGAGTAATGGTGGGAATCTAGGTAGGTGTACAACAGTCTGGTAAAGAGTAAAGGGGTGTCATTACAACTATGGCTACAGTAATGAACATGTTTCCATCACAGGATTTGGCCAAAACATTAGTAGTTAAAACCTTTGCAAGGTTTTTGTCAAAATAGCTTTTCTTAAGCAAATCATAGACTCACAGAATGGCTTGGGTTGAAAGGGTTCCCCAAGGACCATCAAGTTCCAACCCCAAGCCACAAATACTATGATGAGCTCAGCCAACATTATTTGGAAGCTGGAGCAGAAGGAACGGCGTCCATCCTGCATTTGTCAGCCTCTGGAGGTCTTTCCATCACAAAACATCAGTCTGATATTTTACGTTTCTCATCTTCTCTTTTGGGGGATGAACTAGGTATGATCAAATATCCGGGCACGGAGATGTGGATCCCTGCAGTGTTTGGAATGAAAATCCCAGATCCCGGTGGGTCCAGTTTGATGGTGCCAATCCTGGGCATAGACTTTGACTGGAATACCAGGCAGCCTTCCCCACTCGCAGGGACCATGGAAGATGGAAATGGAAAAGGTAGAATGGGAAACTGAATGTGATTATTTTAACAGTAAAGAGGAAAGGACTTCTCTGTCATCACCTCTATTCATATTACTTTCAGAGCCAAGTAATCACCCTACCAGAGCAGATCAGTTAATGTCTCAGCAATGAGTGGAAAATATCAGTGTGCATGGTGTGACATTCAAAACGGGCAGAGCCAGAAAAATGGTGGATAGGAGCCAGGGCTGAGCCCAAATCACACTGCAGCTTTCAGCCATTAAAAAAACCTGATCATTAAGGTTGCAGCTGGAACAGCTGTATTCATGATGCGCATTGTAAGGATTAAATCTGATTTTTCTTTACCCACAGGCCTCGTCCCTATCGCTATTGGTGCCAGAACCATAAGTCCAGTGACAGGTGAAGTGGGGCCTGTTATCGGTGCTCAGACCCACCCCCAGACACACAACGTCATCCCTGTTGTTCAGTCCCTCAGAGCTTTGCCAAGAGCCATGGATACGGAGCTGGTATTACTGCTCAGCTTTGATAACTTCCAAAAACTCTTTGCTCATGATTTTCCACTGCTGTTAGGCAATTTCAGCTCTTCCTATGCCCCACAAATAATATTTTCTCGCAGTACAAGATGAACTGAAGTATATCCATGTCATTTTACTCGCCTCTTCTTTTCATTATCTATTTTTCTCTCTCTTCTACCTGTATCTTCTGCTGCTGCTCTTCATACCTCCTCTTCTATGTCCTACAGATTCAGGACTGCAAATTTCTCATCCCCCTGTGACAGCAAATTTGGATACGTGCTGCAGTTGAAAGCACTGAATAAACATTTCATAAGTAAGGTTCAATTAAGTTTGTAATCTTTCACCTTCCTGCAAATGTAAGCTATTTTTTTTCTGTCATTGCATTTCAGCTGGACCTCCTAGAGAAGGAAATAAATTCAAGGCAAATATACTGGCACTGCAGAATAAAAAAGGAAGAAGGGCTCCTGAAGGAACTGAGTTCTCTATTTCTTCATGTCCTTGATGCTGCAAAGGAGGGAAAGGCACAGAAGGTGTGTGCATTGTTTTTGCAGCTGGCTTCTGTAAAGTTCTTTACAAAGGATTGCCCACAGGCATCCAATTGAAGGATTTCTGGTGCTGCACCCAGGATGGTGCTGATCTGAGTTCACATTACTTCCCTTCTCAATACAGTGCAAATCCAAAATGTGAGTGGATGTGTTGTTACTTCACTGCAGCCTTTCCCACCTTCGAAGTTTGGAGTGTAGTCTCATCACAGAGCAGGCACTGGTTCAAAGCCACAATGTGTCTGTGCACAGCAGGGACAACTGTTCTTAGTGGTATCAGAAACAGATGAACTGCATTCAAGGTCTGCACAATAAAGTAAAATTTTTAAAAAGGCCAGGAAAAAGCTGCGATCAAATTAGCCAATCTCTTGCTTTCATCTGTCAAAGGAAAGAGCTTCACAAGAAGTCTCTGTTGTACAAGTTTGCAAGGTTATCTTGAAGTGCTCTCTCCCATTTCTTACAGATAAAATACAGGGGGGAAGTGAAAGATATGGTGGAAATGTGTCATTTTCTTGAAGGGTCCTCTCTGCAAGAAGCTGAGAGAAGAGCTTCAAAGTATTTCAGCAGCCAGCTGGGCACTGCATTACCCTTACTATTCAAAGGTATGAAGTGTTAGCTACAAACTGACAAGAGGGGAAGCAGGGTGTGTGATGTTTGCTCCCTCCCAGCATGTTAGCTTAAACTTCGGAAACTGCTCATGCCCCCATGAAGCAAGATACAGGATCTGGTTATTCTGTTCTAAAAGATAAAGAGCAGGGATGTGGTGAAACATATTTAGGAAGCGTATCATTTCAGGTTTGCACTGTGAATTTCCATTATCAGATGGGCACTTCTAATATTTGCTGCTTACAGCTGACAGAGATGAAAAAGAACAGGAAATACAGGTTCTGCTGGAGATCAGAAAGGCACTGGAAAAGCTGATGCAGTTTGTTAAGAAGATACAAGAAGAAGAAAAGAGAATATGTGTGCAAATTGCACAGAGAGAGAAGCAGAGGGGATGCAGGTCAAGTACAGAAACAGCACCCAATGTGATGCTCAGACAGGTGAGGTCACTGCTGGCTTAGGCTGAATGTCCTGGGGTCAGAGGACTTGTTAACCTTTGAGAAGCACCCCGGGGTCACACTGTCCCATTTATTTCCTCCACTGTTTCTCTTAAATCCTCCCTTTTTGAACTATTACCTTTAGGGTGGAGCTTTTGGCCCTTCCTGTCATCAGCTGTAGGTTTCATGACTGTTCTGTGATGACTACCCAGACACCAGTGCCATGTAGCTGTCACACCAGCTTTGCAGCCGCAGTATGCAACAGAAAATGAAAGCTGGGACTTGAAGTACTCTGATTTGTCTCATTTCTTCCAGGTTATAGTCGCTCTAGCCTCTGAATTTCAGGAATGCATGCTGAAACAACAAGCTAACGTAGAGACTGCATACACTAAGCTGGAACTTTTGAGGGACTTGTCAGATATCCAAACCCAGCAGGCAAAGGTACTGACCTCTCTCGCAGGCCAATGAAAAGCAGTCATGCTACTTACTTTCTAGCAAAAGCATGAACAGCTGCCACGTTCTGAGAAAAATCCCTGAGAGTGCAAAAATAATTTTCAAATACGCTTGAGTAAAAAAGCCCCCAAGTTCCCCTCTCTTAAAGGGACCTTTCACATCCCATCCTTTGACCTGTGGTGTCTCATGAATCGTAGATCTGTGTCCTCTTGACAAGAGAGTCTTCCCATTAAGTCAATAGGCTCAGAATCTGCTCTTCATATTAACTGGATTCCGTATTTCGTTTTGGCCTTCTGATATTAAAAAGCATAAAATTGCCAATCTTCCCTGATTTTCTTCCCTTTGCTCTGTCTTCCTCTTCTACTCTTCCATCCCCATGAGACAATAACCACTGACTGAATTTCAGCTTATTAATATAATTGAGATAGAACTGTTAGACCAGAACGTTGAGCAGAAAGCTTTTTATTACATGTATGACACAAGTGGATTCCAGAGAAGCTGAGGATATTGAATGCAAGCAATTCAGTTCCAATCATTTGTCTTACAATATCTGCAGCAGCTTGAAGGATGCAGAAAAATCAGAGTTGGGTGCTCCAAGATTGTAACCACTGGAAAAGACTTGAGGCTGCTGAGACAGGCTCCTTGTAGAATCCTATTGAGTCACCAGTCAGTCAGTGTGGGATGTCTGAAGCAACAATTTGAGGTTTTCAGCAGAAGGCAAAGAGGGCCAGGATGCTTTTCCAATGAGATTTTCAACACATGTAAAACACAGGTTACATGTATTGTCTTGTGATGTTTCAGATGCTTTTCTGTGGGTCACAATGCTGTTTTGAAAACTATGAGACAGCCAGCTACTATGGCAGCAGTGGGATCTCACACAGTACAGGCAAGGCCATCGACCACAGTGTGATGCCACTGCTCAAGTCTATGGTTCAGATGCTGGAGGAAGACAGCAGAAGTTACGTATCATCTGAGACACCTGGTGAGAGAGGAGTTGAAGGTCCTGTCAGTTGCCTTGTTTTACTCTGGCCTTTAAAAACGTATTGGAACCTTTCAACTTTAAAGGCTAGAAAGAGAGATTCTCCTTTCTGGCAGCAGCTGTCAGATACTTCAGTGAATCTGTGCTAAAGTAACAGTCATTTCACTACTGCTTTTACCATTTTTCATCACTCTAGAAAGCATTGGTGATTTTAGCTACATTGGGAAGCCTGCAGAATAGAATGGCTTGGGTTGGAAGGGATCTCAAGGATCATCAAACCCCAACCCCTTGCCACATGCAGGGCCAGCAGCCTCTATATCTAATACTAGACAGATTCATCAGCACTTTAGAACTAATCTGTGATTATTTTAGATAAGACTGCAATAAAGTAATTGGCACACAAAATGAAACAGCCATTCTTTTTGGAAGCAGTATTGATTTTCTTTTCAGCAGAAGTATTTTAACATGTGCAACTTTGGCTATTTCCACCAGAGATGAAGACAGGATTAGCGCTGCATTCCCAGTTCAGGTGTTTGTTTCATCAGTCAGGCAGCCTGTGGTTGTTTTTACTGTTACAAGATCTTGCAGAGCAGACAACTTAAATTTAATGTCCTCTTTGGAGGAAGCACTGTAACAATGGAGGACAGACTCAGAATACAGAATCACACCAACATGGCTGTCAATCGAGCCTGAGGTACACAAGTCATCACCTTTCTAGGCCTTACTTGAAATGTGTAGGGAGAATGAAGTTCTGGGGATTGCCCACGAACACTGAGCTCTGCACTCTTGAAAGAACTGATAATTCATCAGCAGCCTTGGTTTTATATGAAGAATGACAAAAATGTTAGCAGGTGAGAAATGCAGTGAAATGAAGACACTTGAAACAAAATGAATTAATCTAACAAGATTCTGTTGTTCTTCGTAGAAACAGCAAGTTCCTCTCAGAGTAAACAAGATGCCTTCTCCAGTCAAGAAGGAGAGCTAATAGTAGTGGATTCTGCAGCCCTGTCCACGAGGGAGTTTGTCACATATCAGTATGGCATCTCCCTGCTGCAGTTTCTCAGCCTTCACATTGATGTAAGTTTGTGAGCTGCTGGTATTCAGTAATCAGCTCTTCAGAAAGAACAGTTATCTAAACAATCCTTCAGCCAACAAGCTGCAAAGCATCTGCCAATTATAAAGCAAAATCAAGTTGAAAAAGACTAATCTGCCAACAGCAGGAAGTAGAATTTGTGTTTTCCCACAGTGATGTAGGACTGTGCTGAGATCAAATTTCTGTTGCCCAAGATCCACGGTCAGTTCTTGTATTTGCTGTGCAATCCCTGCTGTGCACCTCACCCAGACCTTGCATTACCTAATTGTTGCATACTGAATGGCATTAGGATAAAGCACATTTCTTTTATAATTTGGAGCAAGGCATTTCTTATTTTGATGTTACAGTTCGTAGCACAGCAAGGCTTCATCCAAGGCCTTCATAGAAATATAAAATAAATACAAATAGTGATGCCTCCAGTCAGGGCTCTGGGACAAGAGCTCACTTTAATTTATTTCATTAGAAAACTGGCAAGATGAATTGCTGCAACACGTGAGGGTTTTTTAAACAGTTCCCGTTTCCCTGTGGTATTTGTTGGCTCTGTGTACCCACTGCAAATCAAAGGTGACATTTAAAGGAATTCACATCCCATAACCCCTCTTACTTTGCAGGTCTGATGTGCATGCACAGGTTTTACAGAAGCAATTTGCCTTCCCTTTGCAGGCTCCAGAAGTTAAGCTGTGTGTTGCCTCCAGTATTCCTCTCTGCAGTGCTGCAGGCAGTGCCTTCAGGAACTCGTTCTTTTATCAGGTTTGTCAACTTCACATCTAACCAGCCTGTGTAATACTTTTACATGCATTGAGTTATGGACCTAGGAGGTGAACTGCAGGAAGGTTTCATGTTTTTAAATCATTATATGTTTGATGTAAGACCCTTCAAGGTTAATGGCATGCTCTGGATTTCTCTGAATGTGAACTTAATAGAGCACTGTAGAATACAGAGATTTAAAAAGGGGCTGATGTGGGGTCGTACCCAGAGCATTTTATTGTGCTCATCCAGTCTCTCATGTTCAAATTACTGAATTTTCTATAGGTCACCTTTATAGAAGTGAGCAATTTATCAGCATTTTACTTGCTATAACCAGACACACAAAATAGATTCTGCATTCTAAAAGTGAAGTATTAGAGAGAAAAGCTTTCTAAAGTTCATGATACACGGAGATACAACTGTCTAGAAACACAGTGTGAGAAGGCTTTAGATTTCACACATAAGAAGGTGTCCCAAATTGAAGCCTTATGACAGTGCTGTGTTGTTTGTTATATATATATTCCCCATGTAAAACCAAACCAGTGGCAGAATTCTCTCTCTTCAGCTGCCCATTGGCTGTGCTCAGCTCAGGATATTTGTTCTTTTTCAGACTTCAAAGAACAAACTGTTCATCCTGAGGGATTGTCTGGGTTCTGTGGGAAGCTTCCTCCTGCTCCTTGTGCACTGCTTTGCTCACATTGCTGCTGCTGACTTCAGCCAAGACACCAACCCAACCTTCCTGAGGCTTTTTCATCAGGTAGCTCTGCGTGCTCCAAATGTAATTACGTTGTATTTGGAAAACACATACCAGATATGTACATATGGATTTATTGAGAAATAAATGTGGAACAGCAGTGTTCTTCCCCTAACTTCTCAATCAATACAAGGCAGCCCTTTCCATCCAGCCTTCAAAAGAGTGCACTTTCTATTGCAGGAGATGCACAGTCACCTTTTTCCTCAGAGATGTCCCCACTGTGCACAAAGTGATTTTAGGCCCCTGCCAAAATCTGCCTTATTAAATGGTGATTCTCCTCACGATTGTCAAGAACGACCTCCATTGCCAGGGGCCAAACAGCAGAGATAGCCCAGCTCCTGCTGGTGCTGGGTACCACGTCCTCATCCTGCTTCTGTCTTGAACAGCTGCATGTTAACCACACCACTGAGCGGATTTGTGGGCAACATCAAATGAGACCAATAATGTTTTGGGGGTGATTATTAGGATATCAAGAGAAGCTTTTGTTTGACTTGCTCTACCCATCATCCCTACTAATCTCTGGTCAGTGGGTAGTTTTAAATGTCACGTTCAACTGCTTCCAGGTATTCAAAGCTGTTTCTCTCTCTTTCTAGGCACTGAAGACTTGCCTTGGTGAAATGTTTTCTCTCAGACTCCAGCTGTCAGCAGTTCTCCAAGGTAATAAATCCTTAGGGATAACTCAGATGTTGCTGAAGGAAGAGCCGTTCTCCAAGGAAGAAAGAAGCCTGATCTCCCAACTTTTTGAGGTGAAAGGGAAAAACTTCACAGAAATTGAAGCCTTTGAGAAGATAATAAAACAGACTGAGTCCTGGTCTGGTTGAAAGCTCTTCTTTTTATACATACTTCATTACAAAATGGCAATTAAAAGCTGCTTATAGATATTGGCCCTCCCACATTTGCAGCCATCAATTCCCAACAAACACCCGTTTCAAATCTAACAGCCTCAATAGTAGCACAAGCTACCATTTTTACCTGGAAAAAAAGACCTTCATATCAGAAAAAAATTATTTGGCCTCATACAAATCACAGCATAAAAAGCAGTACTCTGAAAAATGTATGTAAAGAGTCTATTAAAGGCCTTTAAAGTTAACACTGATCTGCTCTCTGTGTTTTGTGCTTACTGAATGACAAGTTTGAGGAGCCACCAAGTGACAGCTTGCTTGAGAAGAGAAAAAAGCATTTCCTTAATGCCTTAGGCAGCTGTAAGAAGGGCAGCTTTGGGTGGAGGATGTGATTTGTGATGGTGTAGCTGAATACAAAGCAAATCGTGACACCTTATTGTGACCTCACTTTACACTACAAAGCCAGTCTTCACAACCTGCTACATCTGGGCAGGTTGCATGAAGAGCAGGTCAGATCTGCTGCCTGAGTATGTCAGACTGATTGCTTCTCCCTAAAATATCACCACCTTCTGGATAACAGAAGTCACATTTCAGAGAAATTAGTCTAACTTGGTCTCATGAAAAGCCTACTGCTGTCAGTAACAGCAGCACTTCTACTGGCTGATTTTAAGCACTCAATGCCTTTAACTCAGAAGAAGAAATCTGTACTTATCTCCTGCAGAACTTGAGGATCAAGTAGATGCATTAATGGAAAAGATACCATTAGAGAATGAACACCATCTTTCACAAACATTTGCTTTTACCTTGGATTAAGTACTTCAGAGAAAGAGCAGTTGGTAAAGCAAATAAAGGCAGTAGAAGAAAAAAAAACAGCTTTAATGATCCTCAGAAGACAACTTAGTGGCTTGGTTCTGAATTGGCCAGCTGCTTTTGGTCCCAGGCTTTACATGAGAATATTGTATTGTCATTTTATTAGGCAAAATCATGAGTCAAAGTGTGAAAGACAGCATTTCTTATTCACTGATCATCACCTCTTCTGCCCCTGCAGCCTCTGGTTTAGGTAACAAGTAGGAAGAAACAGCACACCAGAACCTATGAACTTCAAATGATGTCAGAACCCACCGAGTATCCTCGCATTAATGCTGCTGAATCATTCAACACTGAGAAGTGGGTGGGTTATCACTGCTTCATAAATTATGCACTCATTCTGTCATCTTCACCCTACACTGAGATCTCACTAGGAGAGAAAAAACAGATTAAAATAGATGGATTATGCTCATCAAAGCTGCAGAATTAGTTGGAAGCACTACTGCTGACTCTCAGGGACGAAGAAGCCTCCCACCTCACATCTTCTCCTTTATTCAGTTTATTCAGTGCCATACAGATCACAGCATTTGCACAGAGCCAACTCCAAAACAAAGTCTTTTAAAAAGGAAAGCCTCTATAGTATGAGCAAAATTTTTTTTTTTTTTTTTTTTTTTGTATCTACTAAACCCTATTAATGCCAAGTTTGACTTCAATGTGATTTTTTTTTCTGAAGAAAGACAGCAAGTTGTGGTGAAGCAAGACAGACATTACCTTACTTAAGAGGAACAGAGAACTCAACCTTGTTAGTTATCACCATCCACACTGTATTCAAAAGTTAAGAGAGGATCCAGTTTGAGTAACTGTGGCTTAATACAAACGTGTTGTTTGTTTTAATTAAACACCAACTATGAAGTTACCCGAGATCTACACTTATAATTTTAATCACTTATTTGACTTGATTTATACAGGCAGCCTGGTTGTCTTCTTTTACAAAGCCTCTCTTTCAGGACTGCACATCAGTCATTTCCATCACTGCTTACTAGGTAGCAAAGGAGGATTACAGCAAGAAGAAATGACTGCACTTAGCAGTCATATGTATCTGCATGAGCTATTTTGACAACAAGCTTGCTGAGCATTTTCAAGAGATTAAGCAGCAAGACAAGCTACCACCATTGCTTTTACCCTCGTGGCCCAGTTTAAGAAGCAGGAAGTGTTGGACTAGGAGACAAGTCGGTAGGAAAGTCAGAGCAAAGCCATCGTGTTGAGAGGCTGCCAGGACTGAGTTAAATAAAGCATCCTGGAGCACAGCTCAGAAGCCCAGTAGTGTTCCAACGAGCCCTTTCTTACTGAAAGCATAGCCTCCATCTCTCCAGAGTTCTGACTGAGTAGAAGGCAGCTAAAGTGACTCACGTGGTTTAGGAAAAGCTTCCCGGGGGACACAGCACTGCACAACAGGCATCCTTTGATAAATATTCCATCCATTGAGAAGGTGATGTTTGCTGTGCTGCTCACAGCTGGGAGAGCTACACCATCATCTATCCATCCCTCTCCTGTCCATAGGCTGGCTTCTTCTGACAGGTGAGCTACAGGCTAGGAACCAGAAGCCCAGATGGAGCCACAGGAGCATCCTTCACAGCAGTACATAGCAGAGCTTCACACACTGGGAGGTGCAGACATTTTGCTCCCGGTGCAACTAACGCTGCTGCCCTTGCTACCTTGGCCAGAAGGAAGCAGAAGGTCTGCTCATCCTCAGCTCTAAGGGTGTATTTATTTATTGTCAGTCTTCCTTGACTCGTGTTTTGACCAAACAGCTTTTTTTAAACTCCCTTCAGGCACCAAGAGGGGATTGGACAGCTTTTTAAAAGAAAACATGATTAGATTTATTGATATATACGCATTTCCTTTTTAGCTTACAAGTAGCATCTCACATTAATTTTCAGTCTTGTTAACATTGTTAAAATATTAAAATGTTATTTAAAAACCCAGAGTTTCAATAGCACAGAGTAAGAGGATAGGGAACAGACAGTAAGCACATTCTCTTCTCGTGAAGCTCTGTAGCACCAGCCTTCATCCCACAGCACAGCTGAGTGTTAGAGGCTCTTGGAACAGAGACAGCCACGGATCTACCGCTTGGTGTTGATCCAGTGGTATCTGTCAACACGTGGTCCTGAAAAAGCAACAGCTGGCCTGAAGGCTTTGAAAGCCCTGTGCTGGGCATAGGATGAGCCACTTGTGTGTGTCTTCCTATGAAGATACTGAGACCAGGACTGTATGGGTGTCTTGCAGTAGTCAAACTAGAGAGCAAGAAATGAGACAGCATTAAGATGTGTCTGGGCAAGGAAAGGGAGCTAAGTGGCTGACAGCTGTCTGTCTATCACACCTCTGTGAAGGAGTCTCCGGGACACAGATGGTGGCCTTCACCAGCAGGGACAGTCACACTTACCTGGTAGACGCTGTTGGGATTGCTGACAGTAGGGATGGCCTTTGGTTCCCTGTTGAAGCTCTCCTCATCCGAAGAGGTGCCGGAAGGATAATCCAGAGCTGCTCTGTCAACAGCGTGGTTGATCTGCTGCGAAAGCTCTGGGTTCTCCTCTCCTTCAAAGTGAGCAACTGTGAACGGCCGGTTCTTCTCTCCATACCTGGAAGCAACCGCGTTTGTGCCACACAGCTCTGGAGCAGCGGTGTGGACACGACTCACCTGATGCTACCAAGGAAGCACAACCTCAGCCTTTACTAATGGGCTTGGAGAGGATGAGGTTCCACAGAACACCTGGCAGATGATGGTGTGAGTCACAGGTTAACTCACCTGCAACACACTTCAAATGGATCAACCCACAGCGTCATCTCTTTCGGCAAACCAAGCTTGTTGAAGTCCACGTTGCTCTCCACACAAGCTTGCTCCAGCAGCGGATCTCTTGCCTGATGCTTGTTTATCCTTATGCACCTGGGGAGAACACAAGTGCAGGCGGAACATTAGACTTCTCTGCCACTTTGCAGTTCTGCTCCAAGAAATAGGATTAAGTCCACCATATTTCACCTCGGCACAGCTGGCCTGGGGGTACAAACTCTCATTTATAGAGAACATCAGAAAGTTAGCCAGCAACTCCACCAATTTCAGAAGCTTAGTTTAATATAGAACTCAGTTTAAGGCCACCTGTCCAGGACTCAAGAAGTCAGGTCCTCTCCCCTTTCCTTAAAGGCTCTCTTACCTGAAGGCCTGTCCTCGGGATGGATTGTCCAAGTACCAGTGGTTCTTGTACTTTTCAAACAGCAGTGTTGTCAGCTTAGCTGCAAATCTCTCTATTTTATGCTTGCTCAGCTTGTCTTCCCTTTTTATCAGCCTTGTGATGAAGAAGACAGTAGCAGCAATTTCATCCTTCATTTTAAATCCAAGCGCTTTAACTGTTGGAGAGTCATCAGGAGAGATGAGACACTACCCTGGATCAATTTAATGGCTTTGAGGTGCTATTGAGTTCCAAGGAGAGATGTTAAAACCCACAACCCATCAGATAAAGCTTAAATAAACCAAACTACCAAATAAGAGGATACTTCAGTTCAGGGTATTGCACCAGCTCAACAGATTCCTAGAGAGCACTCACAGTGCACTTGTTAAAATGCAAAAGCTTAAAAGGTCTTAGCCCTTAACAGCCTTTATGCATTGAGTCAACACCCAGCAGGGCTCACAGAGCTGCTTCACACACCACAAAGACCACAAACATTACCTTCTCAGACCAAAGTTGTTGAAAACCTGAGATATATTTCATGTACAACTTCAGATAGCCACAAAAGAAACAGATTTAATGCTACAAAAACTTCTACAGCTTTTGCTTGCTTTTTTTTTTTTTAATTAAAAAAAAAAAAAAAAAAACATAGGAAAACTCCTCCCAAAAAATACCCAACCCTTCCCTCACCATTGCACCACCACCACATCTTGCTCAGGTTTTATATCCAGCTGGCCCTGAGGGCTGTAACAGCATTCAGGTGTGCTCCATTAGCTGATCAACCTGCGGGGCTCCAGGCTGCATCCACTCTAGGTGGTTTTATCCCAATATCAGCTTCCTCTGTTAAGGTACGTTTAATGGATTTTCATCTCCATCTGCCTGTTAGTTAAACACCAGTTTAATACAGCAGTGAGTAAACTTAACGAGTGGTCACAAACTCCTTCTAGTGGAGTTCGTGCAGCGTTGCTCCCTGCCCTCACGTTTGGTGGCCGGGGGAGGTGGGGGAGTCACCAACCCTGGAGGTGTTCAGGGAATGTTTAGATGTGCTGAGGGACGTGGATTGGTGAGAGCTGCTGGTGGGTGGTTGGGATGGGTGATCTTGGAGGTCTTTTCCAACCTTGGTGATTCTGTGATTCTATTCTAAAGATTGGATGACTGCATTTATCAATGTTCATGTCTTCTGATGACCATAATTGGCTTTTTTTGTTGTTTTTATGCTATTTCACAGAGGATGTGAGTGACTCTTTTAAAGAGTTCAAACCAGTTCCTGGAATGTGAGTGCTTCGTTATGGGCCTCGAGCTGTGCTAAGGGAGGTTCAGGTTGGATGTTGGGAAATATTTCTTCACCAAGAGAGTGGTCAGGCACTGCAATGGGCTGCAGGGACGTGGTGGGCTCCCTGGAGGTGTTCAGGAAGCATTTAGATGTGGCACTGGGACCTGGCTTAGTTCAAAATACTGGTGATAGGCAGACAGTTGGACTGGATGATCTTGGAGGTCTTTTCCAGCCTGCTGAGTCCATGATTCTATGCTTCATTGTTTAAAGTTGTAGGCAGTAAGCTGATGTGTTCTCTTTTTCCCCTTCTGCCTGTGGAATTTGTGCCACCAATGCTGGATATCAGAAAGCATTCAGACAAAATGACAAACGAAGGTGAAAAGAGCTGAGCGCTTACACAGGTTCTCGATGTGGATGCAGGTGTTGAAGCCGAGCAATGTGAGCGCTCGCAGGGCTGGCTGGGGGCTGAGCAACGCATGGATGGCTTGCAGGCGGTCTCCTGCCTTCCTCCTTCCTCCAGCTCCAACTTGTTCAGGCAGGCCCTGTGAGTTGGGAAATTCTGTGCTAAAAGAAGTGACCAGATGGCACAAAGGATGGCCAGAGAGGCCTGAATGCCTTCAACACCTCTGCACATTGAGTTCATTGTTCCATAGCTAACAGGTGCCGTAAGCCAGCCGTAAACAAACCTTCACCTGAGAAACCAGGCTGCTCATGCAATCAGTGCTGTTTCTTGCATGCCAAGGGGCCAAACAGGACTACACCAACTTTGTGCATCAGACAGGGAAAGAAAAAGAAAGAAAAATTCAGCAAAGTTCTTGGCAACCTGTCCGGCTGGCTCTAATTATTAATGCTGCCATAGAAGCAAGGCTATGGGAATGCTTTAACTTGGTGTTTTTACAATCACTCCTGAATTCAGAACTTCTGTTAGTGACAGAGAAGCCAGAATGGCAGGGGGCATTTCTGAGCTCCCATTTCGTTGACAACTAGAACTGTCTCTTTTAATTAGGCTCAATCATTGAACTAAAATCCTTTGTTCTGTTGTCAGTTGTCACTGAATGCATGAGAACACAGCCTTGGGTCTCCTGCTTGGAGAATAAAGGAAGTCAAAGAGAAAATGTGAGCCCTCCATCCCAGTGTGAGATCTGTAAAGCAACTCAACCAGTTGTGCTCCCACCCATTCCCAGCTGTGTCCAAGCTGGATCTGTTGGCATCCCAGCAGTTCTGCAACAAGCGTTATGAACAGCCAGGAGTTCTGATTGATGAGTTAAATTAATGAGCACACATGGGTGCCTTTGGCTAAGGGGGGCTGCTGGGTTCGTTAATTGTTACTGAGAAGAAGAAAATAATTATAATAGTACAATACTAGAAAACACTGCTTTATTATCCCTGGATATTTATGGGATCATGGAATCGGAGCACAGAACGGCCTGGGTTGCAAAGGCCCACAGTGCTCATCCAGTCCCAACCCCCTGCTGTGTGCAGTCACCAACCAGCAGCCCAGGCTGCCCAGAGCCACCTCCAGCCTGGCCTTGAATGCCTGCAGGGATGGGGCATCCACAGCCTCCAACTCTGGTTGTATTCAGAGCTCACTGAAATCAATGGAAATCCGTCCAAAGGCTTGAAGTGGAATTCAGGTCAGGCCTGAACTCAGCAGAGCATTCTTAGCTGGATTACATTGCGGGTCTCCTGGTCACCAGGCAAGTCTAGGCATGAGGTGCAAAGGGAAGAGTCAGATGCAGTTTCTCTAGTAACTGCAGGCCGAACCTAGAGCAAACATTTCCCTGAGCACCAGACCAGCTCTGCAGAAGCTTTTGCATTTTCCGTATCGATACCAGCAGAGCTGAGGGCAGCTTGCTGCTGGCAGCCTTCCTTCTCCACGCCGCCTCCTTTCTGTAGATGATCAACTACAGACACCTTCAGGTGAGCAGCTGAAGTCACAACTACTGATGTAAGTTCAAGGAGCGTGAGTTGTTTCATGATGGGAAAACATCTGAGAGAAAAGGCCTCTCCATCTGCTTTGTCAGGGCTGTGGGTCTGTCTGCTCTGTCCTCCTCCTATGGCTCCTCAGCTCCTCTTTGACTTAAAAGCAGCCTGAGGCTGCAGGTATCACCGGAGAGATGTGATGGAGCATCAAACCTGCATCACAGCCCCTGCAGCTCCAGCCCAACCCGCAGCCATTTGTCCACAAGAGAAGGCAGAAACTTGTGCTCCGTATTGACTTTGCCCATAGAAACCTCTTCTGCAACAAAGCTGCCCATCCCAAGAGCCGTGCGGTCGGTTCAGGGCTGGGTCCATCCTCCAGGCGCCAGCCCTGAGTGCCCATGGTGACAGAATGTACACAGAGGGCTGACCCACACCCGGCTGGGGCCACTCCAGCACAGCCATCTGTGGGGAGAGATGGGGACCCAGGTGCCCCTGTAGGGTCCATCCCATCCCATGGCTGCCTGGGAAAGTGGTGCCCGGTGAATGGAAAGAAAGGAAAGAAGAAGTTCGCTGTTCTTCTCTTCCTGTTAATTCTTTTTGAGCATTTTGTTGCAAATTCAGCCCTAGCAGGATTTCCACAAGGTAAGCTTCTTAAGGGTAAGTCCTGAATGCTTTTTTTCTGCATTTTAACAGTATAGCAGTTATGGTTGAAAGATAGCAAAAAAAAAAAAGTTTAATTTGCAGGCAAAGTTCTCCCTGTAACCTTACAGGCTCTGTCTCATTGCTGAGTTAGCAGCAGCCTGATAAATCTATATAAAATAATGTTATGGTATTACTGGTTGCATACACATACATTAGACACAAGGCACAATTAATTGTAACTACTTTCTGCCCATTCTACCTTGTTCTGCTGACCAGGTTTTCCTGTTTCTTTGGTAGCACTGCAATGTTTGAGCAGCATGGGGGCTGACAACCACCTCTGCCTCTGTTCCTGTATCTCTGGGGAAAAGAGAGAGCTCTGGATTTAGTGGAATAGCACTAAGGGTGGTACGACCAATGTTTTCTGACTGTTGCTATAATAACACATGGAGTACTTTAATATTATTGGGAGTGCTTTCTTCTTTTTCCAGGTGTGAATTCCACAGCACCATCATGAGAGCAGTGCTTGGTTTGCAGGCAGTGTAGTTAGCTGATTGTACCCAGTGCCCCACAATCACTACATTCACTGCCATCAAAACAAGGCACAGGACCCCGCATTGCAGCCTCAGTGCATCCTTATTCCTAGTGCAGAAAGGGTCAGTGTTTCCTTCTTTACATCCTTACTGCCAGTAATGTTAGCTGCCCAACAGACATTAGTATATGTTGCCAATATCAAATGAAATATTAGATTTGCTTAGATGTGTGGTCTGATTTTTGGGTGGTCCTGTGTGGAGCTGGGAGCTGGGCTGGGTGAACCCTATGGGTCCTTTCCAACTTGGAATGTTTTATGATTCTGTGCTAAATTGGTGCTAAAATCCTTTGGGACATTCCTGGGACAAGAATGCTGTCTGCTGTGCTGAACTCATCGAGTCACATGAAGACTTTTTGTAAGTCGATTGTTGGTGCACCAGGAATGGGCTGAGGATGTGTTCTGTTCTGCCTTCAGCTGATCTAATCAAAGAAGACCATTTGCATTCAGCTTTCATGTCTGACTTAACAAGCCCGTAAGCCAAGAGGGTTTTAAGCACTGATTAAATATAAAGCTAAGTGAACGCTACCCGTGGTTTTACCACTTTGCTTAATGTTCAGTAATGATAATAAGGGGGAAAAAACAAACTTAATACTACTGCAATATTGGGGGGAGGATGTTGTTTGTTTTCTTTCTTAGAAAAACCCAAATTTCATACAGGTAGGAAGAGGAAGGGAGGAGCTCATCCATCAGCCTGGTTACTAGGCAGTGTAGTTAGCTGATTGCCACCAGTACCAATCACTAACCACACAGCCAGGTGAAAAGGCTGGGGAGGAACCCAGGGAGGCACACAGGAATTCATCATGCCCAAGGACATCCCCAGCACTTCTGAGCAAAGCAAGTCTTTTCTTCTTCCCAAAATTCGTAGACATGGGCTGTGCTCATCTCAGCCTTGGGCTTGCCAGACTTTGCGTCTGCCTTTGCGTGTTGAAGAAATGTCATTCAGCCCCAAATTTAATCAAAACAAATGTTTTTATCATCAGTCCGAACAGCAGGGCCTGGCACTCAGGCTGTGGGGCGGGATTGGAGGCACCAGATGGAGAGGGGCCATCAGAGCACAGCCCCACACTGGCCCACAGAGCCTGATGAGCCCCTTGTCTTTGCTGGATCGAGCCCAGCTGATGTGGAGTTTGCCCGCATCTTCTGGAGCACAGCCGTGCTGCCGCCGCTCTTTGAGCCCTGCCTGTGTCCCACCAACCTGTGCCGTGAGGGACCTCCGTCCCCTGGGCAGACCCCAGCCCACAGATGGACCCCATCAGCAGCTCACGGCGTGCAGGAAGCTGAAGCAAAAGACAAACACCGTCAGCAGGTAAGAGCTGCTCGCCTGACCCTTTTCTCATCGCCATTCCTGATCTTTGGGCGTCCCTTGGTGGAGCTTTGGAACTTTGGAAATGACGTGAAGGGCAGATCCAAAAGCAGCCTGGTCCTGGCTAACAGTTGTGCAGACAACAGCTGGGTGTGCTTCCCAGTCACTGATGTGATCTGTAGTTGGAGCCTTTTACTGAAGCCCTATCACTCTAACCCATGTATTAATGCCCATGTATGTATCACAAATGCACACTATTGGAAACGAAGACAACTAGCATTGAATACGTAATAGCGTGGCCTGACTCTGCAATGATACCATGTTATTTTTTGGTATGGGACATGCTGTGAGCTTCAGGTATCCAATAAGAAGATGGAAATCCATGCTGAATGACAGCCGTTGTATTTAGAGCATTCCTTTCACCGGGCTGAGCTGCACGTCAGTCATTCTCATGGGCTTCGTAGAGCATTTCGTGGTCAGCAATGAAATTTCAAAGTTCTTAACACTGCAAATCTGAGAAATCCGTGTAACCCATTTAAAATAGGAAGCCCTGGCATTGCCTTACTCTTGAAAACTCCAGACACTCAGGCTGACTCTCAGCTTCAATGAAGAATTTCAGTTTTACACCAGGAGCATCGTGTGCTTTTAGCTCCTTTTTTTTCTGAGCTCATTTTGCTAAACGTTTCTTCTCAGGCCAAGAAGAAAGAAGAAATACTGGCTTTGCTGAGGAAACAGAGAGAAGAAAGAATTGCGGTACGTCTGGTTCCTTTGGTCCTGTTCTGGTTCCTTCAGGTCCTGGTCCGTTTCCTTTGGTCCTGTTCTGGTTCCTTCAGGCCGTGCTCCAGCTGTGCCTCGAGGTGTGTGCATCCCTACGGCGCAGCTCCCAGGTTTGCTTGGATCTGCTGAAGGAATCCTCACAGCCCCTTTGCTGCGCTCTGAGGGCTGACGTTTGTCCCACCATTGTTTCCTTCAGCTCTGATTCACACAGTATAGAGCAGAGATGGGTGAGGTTTTACCCCGTTCAAGGTTAAACTTCTGTCCTTCTGCAGGGCCATGTATCCCACCTAATACAACTGAATTACATTTGATAGAAGCAGGTAGAAGTGGAAGGAACTAATGATGATCAGAGGGTCTTTGTCTTTTCAGAAAGAGCTGATTTCTCGTCCACATAAACCAAAGATGAAAAGTGATCAAGTAAGGTAATGAAAACCAAAGCTTTCCTGTCTGAATAGCCAGGATCTGTGCTGGGAGATGTTCTAGTTGTTATTTTCACAACGTTAAGAAGTCGGTTTTATCCTGTATGAACACTTGTCATGACAAAACTTAGAAGCAGAAAGGAGGGGGGTGCTGCTGCTGCTCTGTTCTTTACTCCATGTGTGCTCCATCTGTTTATCAGTAGGTCGTAGAATCATTTGAGTTGCAAGGGACCATTGAAGGCAACGCACAGCTTCACTGATCTCTGTTCTTTGCAGCAGGCAGAAGGTGTTTGAAGCAGAGCGTGAGGATCAAGAAGCAGTGAAGGCCCTCAGATAATTCAGCCCAAGTCTGGAGGTGACAACCTGCACCGCTCAGGCTGTGTACATCCCTGCTTTGGTCACATTTCTTGTTCACACCAAGACACAGCACGACTGACAGCAGCTTCTCAACGTAGCCCAAATGTCCCCGTGCTGCTGAAGTGAAAATGAACACTTGATTTGGAAAACTTACTGAGCTGCGGTGCCCTTTGTGCTGGTGGTGGTTTTGGAAGCCCTCTCCATTGCTGCCATGTCAGAACCACTTTGTGTCCTACAGCACTTTGTTCCCAGTTGGGTTCTTCTATTGGAAGAGACCAAATGCCAGTAGCAGAATGTGTACCCACCACTGATTGCAGAAAGCATCATGCTGATGCTTGCCATGGATGTACTCCAATGTTTTTTCCTTCTGAGCCAGTACAGAAATGTTTTCCAATGGGTTCAGTAGATGTAGATGATTTCCTTTGTGTTGGGTGCTGTTCTGAGAACTCCTGATGTAGGTGGAGATTTAAGACCGTGTCAGAGGCTCACGTTCAGCCCTAAATCCAGGCCGTGTCAGTTCAGCTGCTCAGTTATTCCTTGTATTCAAGGCATTTCCATATGATAATAGTAATGGTGAAAATGGGACATCTTCATGGATATGCCATGCTTTGAAGTGCCCTTCCCTTCCCTTCCCTTCCCTTCCCTTCCCTTCCCTTCCCTTCCCTTCCCTTCCCTTCCCTTCCCTTCCCTTCCCTTCCCTTCCCTTCCCTTCCCTTCCCTTCCCTTCCCTTCCCTTCCCTTCCCTTCCCTTCCCTTCCCTTCCCTCTTTTTCCTCTTCCCTTCCCTTCCCTGTCTGTGATTTGTGTTTAAGAAGTTGCCCAGCAGAGAAGTCTGGGCAGTGACAGTGTTACCCCAGGTGTACTTCAGTACAAGACAGTGCTGCCTTTCTCCTTTATGCTGAATGCTTTTCTTCCATGAAAGCATGACACATTTGCCTCTCGTTTTCACATCAAATCTAAATGTTTTGCACAAACTTTGCCTTTTTTCTTATTTAAAGACAGGATGCAGAGTCCTCTGGGTGGGGAGGAGGAGTGGGGTCCTGCAGTGTGGCATGGCCAGTGCTGGGCTGGGGGTGAGGGCAGCCCCACAGCTGCTCCCTGTTGGCACTTTGTCAGCTGAGGCTTCAGATCCTTCTCCTGCCCTGCAAGCAGATCCACCAGGCAGGGACACAGCCAGCTCTGCCTGGGGGAGCAGTGCCTACAGGGTGTGAAATGCACAGCATCTCTGATCACAGCACACAGCAGGAGCTGTGCTGGGAGTGCAGCAGGGCGAGTGCCCCCTCAGCTCCAGTCCCTCCCCATTCCACCTCCCCTTGCAGCCCAGGAGGGCTGGCTCTCCCTGGGCTTTTCACCTCTCACTCTTTTGCCCTGGTTCAGTTTCTGGGTGTTTTTGCACAGGAAGTGGTGGTGTTTGTTTTCCTGGCAATGCGGGGACTCAAAGCACAGTGGTTGGCACACGGACGTGTTCTGCCTTTCAGGTCAAGCTGAAAACAAGCCAAGCCCTAACAGTTGGGTTGGAGGAGGTGGATTTCCTTCTCCAAAGCAGCTGCCTGTGTGTCTCAGTCCTAAGCTGCTCTGTCTGTTGCCCTCCCTGCCACCTTTCTGCACTATTTAGCAGAGCCCATCGCCTCTGTTGGGAAAGAGGTGAAGGGAAAATGGGAAACAGGTGACCAGCACCTACGGGGTGATCCGACTTTGCTCCTCACTCTCTGACGATGGGGATTCTGATTTCCCTCTCCCAGGGATGGACGTGAAGGGAGGGCATGAAGCTGACAGCACCAGGCTCTGCCAGGCTGGGAGATCAAAGGCACAAACCAAAACAGAAGCACAGAGCACTTTATTGGTGGTCACGCATTGGCACTGTGTTACAGACAGCTAACGGTCTCCACTTAGAGAGAGATTTAAAGCCCCAGCAGGGAGCATGGATAAACGAGAACCCCACCGTGCACCCCAGCTGCTTTTGTTTTCCTGAAGCAGCAGTGCTGCTCTTACACAAGAGGGCAGAGGAGGTGCCTGATGTGCTCCACATCCTCAGGCCATTTTAGTGTGCTACAGGCAGCCCCTGGGAGCACAACAGGAAGCTGCAGGCTCAGCCCTTGGCAGCAGCTCTGTAACCATGAAACTGGTGTGAAGCTGAATAAATGCAGCAGGGCTTTTGGCAACCCAAAAACCCGCGTCTTCCCTGCAGCCTCCACTCAGCTCTGCTGCTGCCTTGGATCCAAGTGGAACAGAGAGCACTTGCTCAAACATTTCCTTGCATAGCTTCACACTGCCATATGTCAAAGCTCAAGCACCCATGCGGGGCGCTCAGCTGGATTCTGCACAGCATCAGGCATACAGGAGCACCAGTTATACTGGTTTAAGTCATAATTGTGCTCTTAACAGAGACTGGGAGCAGAGTCCACAAGCACATGCCAAGCAGCATGCGCAGGGCTGGCCTCTCAGCCAAAGCAAGGCTCACAGCAAAAGCTGCCAAGAAAAGAAAAGTTGCACCACCAGCTTCGTCCTTCCCTCCCCCCACCAACTGCATTCTTCTTCTCCCTTTTTCTAAAGTTATCCTTCCTATGGGGACCTTCACCAAGTACATCAGCATCCTGCAGGTCAAGCAGATCACTGATATGCCCCAGGTGAGGAGGAAAAGAAGGCAGACAGCACTCAATACTGCTGCATGCTGACCGAGCTCCCTGCCTGAGCTCCAGGCAGCAGCTGCTGGAGATCACGCACAGCTTCATCCAGAACAAGGGGGGGGACCTACAAGCTCTTCAAGCACCCCAAGGTAGAGAGACTCACTGAGACGTGGGTAGCTGGAAAAGCAGCCAGCCTGGCACCGAAGCTCAGGACCTTCCTCACAGCAGTATATAGTGAGCTCTCCTCCCACCACCATCCCACCCCAGAGATGAGTTCCCCCAACCCACACCTGGCCAGCATCAGAGAGGAGCCAGGCCACCCCCAGTGGCCAAGAGGGGACTCTGTAAAGAAAACTTTCCCCACCCCAGCAGCAGCAGCACATCAAGGCCTCTGCCCGAGTGATGAGCTGCAGAACACTGAGCACAGCCCCTCCAAGCCCTGCCTCCCACCTTCCAATATGGGGGTAGAGTACCGCCAAGAAGCAGCGCCCACCTTCCTCACAGCCCGGAGGTGCTTCTGCCCCTGGAATCTGCCACCACCTCCTTCACCCAGGAAGATGCTAAAGAAACACAAACGGAGAACTGAGCTGCCACACCTGCACGATTCAACAGCGCTGCTCACCATCACGCTGCTTCTCCACACCCAGGAAAACAGGCTGGAGGAGCTGCACCCCACCCAAAGGGGCAGCCTTTGGCCAACCAGCACCACCAAGGGAAGCCACTGCTTCTGCCAACAGCCAGAGGGAATGGGCCCTGGGGAGTACAGAGCCCACACCAGGCAGGGTGCAGGGGATTGAGGCTCTGCTGCATCCGAGGACCAGCATGCAGCACTCACCTGCAGAGCTGAGGTCTGCCTGTTGGATCAGCTCAGCCCCTGCTCTACATGGAGGGCACACTGCATCCTTCGGCTGAGCTCCATCACTGCAGCTCCTCAACAGGGAGATGAAGACAGGGCTGGTTGCCTTCTTCTGGGAGAAGAGCTGCAACAGGACATGAAGAGAGGGGCAAAGAGAGCAACTCTGGGGTGCTGAGCCCCTGCACCCCAATGCAGGAGGGCAGGGAGTGGCCCAGAGCAGGAAGCAGCACCAGGACCCCCAGATCCAGCAGGGAAAGGCTGCTGGAAACCCCCCCCACCACCAGCACCTCTCGCACTTCTCACTGCCAGAACGCCATCCTCCAGGGGAGCAGCAGGCACACACCTCCTCTGTGGTCCTGTTGTTTCTGGAACTGCTCTCAGGTTTGGGCTGATCCTTATGGCAGCCCTCAGTCGCCCTGCAACAGAAGATTAAAAAAAAAGGAAGTGAGATAGAACAGATTTCAAGCATTTCTTCCATTCTAGCAGCACCTTCTGTTGTTTTGTATCCCCAGAAAGAAGCGCTGGGGCTGGAGGAGCATGGCTGCATCCTGCTCACCTCCATCGCTGCAAGCAGAGGGGGCTGCAGCACCCACAGTCCCCTTTTGCAGGGCTGGGGGCACCTCAGGGCTGTGCTCAGCCTCAGGAAACAGAGCAGAAAAAGCAGGTTGGGAAGCCAATAGCGGGAACTCTATAAACAGCCCCCAGTAGGGTTAAGAGGCTTTGGGACCAGCCCTGCCCTGGGATCCCATCCCACAGCAGGTGGGAGTCACTGCTTTGTTAGCACAGCTGGGACTCATTGGAGCCACCCCAGACCCTGTCCCTGGGCTTGGCTCACCCAGACCAGCACGTCCCCATGGAGGTCCCACTGTGTGGGCAGGCGGCCACCTGGCTGTGTGGGTTGTGGTGCTGGGGTGGGATGAAGGATGCACGATGAGGGATGCAGGCAAAAGGAGGGTGAAGGATTTAGGGTGGTCCTGTGCAGAGCCAGGTGGACTCAATGATCCTTCAGGACATTCCGTGATTCTGGGATGCAGGGTGCAATGAGGTGGGTTTGGATGCGCGGGCAGAGGACGTGAGGGTCAGGATGAACAGTGCGGGATGAAGGATACTGATTGATTCTCTAACAGTTGAAGCATATGTAAACTCAGAAAGGTTCTGCTGACAAGTATTTTATTAAGCACATGTGCTAATTTAAAGCACCATGATACTCTTGCTGCAGGATCCACAACGAGGGGGCATTTGCATTAGGAACTGATCAGGGAACAAAGGCTGCCTTCTCCCACCTGCAGTGCTGGCCGTGGCTTTGTGACCAATGACCTCTATGAGCTGAGCTGAGGAAGGAGGACTGGGAGCTCCTACAGCCCCACAGCACAGCGATGGCTAAAGGCACAAAGCCAAACCTCCGCTTGGGGAAGCTCCCAGCAGGGGGGTGGAATTCCCTGATCTTGTGTCCATCCCAACCCCCCGGGGTCTGTTGCTCACTCATCAGATCCCTCACAGCTCCCATTGCAGCCCAGCAGCTTCTCCACACACGATGGCACCACACAGAACCACCAACCGTGGGCTGGATGCCCCCCGTGTCTCCCTGCAGCATGGCTGGGGCTCAGCACCGCTCAAAGAAAGACGTGAGACCACGCTGGTGTTCCAGGGAGCTTTTATTGAGTTTAAATCAACAAAATCAGGATTTTATCATGTCTTATTTTCGCACTCTGAACTCGTGAAACTCTCCGCGAGTCGGTGCTGCGACACACACGCATCCAGAAATACATTCTCAACCAATTCTCAGCTCCGCCGGAGAGTTTGCCAATTACCAATTTAACCAAACGCCAATTTTCCCCTCCCCCCCAAAAGTTTGCAATGATTTGTCCGTGTTGTTCACTGATTAACAGTAACATTCAACTTCCTGACTAGGGACCGGTGGGTTATGATGCCCCACCTGAACTGCAATATCTTTTTCTTCAAATAAAGTTGCTTTTATTTTTGTTTTTTTGTTTTTTTTTTCTGTAACGGGAACAATGACTGTTTTCTTCTCCTGCCACCCCTTCCCTTTAATTATTGGTTAAAATACAGCAAGGCTGTATCTTAATAAACCCATCCCTCCCACCACCCCTCCCTTACCCTTCCCTCACTTCGTCTAGAGCAGAATTTAAAAATGCTTCCACGCAGACACGTCAGCAACGCCGCAGGAACTGAGCCGAAGGCAGGGGACGATGCAGCACAGCCTCCAGATGCTCTTTGGTCCAGAGCCCTCCTTTTATTATCAACTCCAATTAAAGAGGCTGCGAGTTCCCAGCAGTTGGAAATGGCTGTTGTGCCCAACTGTGCGGCAGCAGAAGGGAGCTGCGCTGCGCTCAGCTGCACTGCGGCCTCCTGCAGGACGGAGCCGCTGCACAGCGCTGTGCTGCAGGCTGCCCCCCTCCCCATCACTTCCATCACAATGCGCGAAGCATTTTTAAATCCTGAGAGCAGACACCCTCCCCCAACCCGAGTAAAAAAAATCAAAATCAAAATCAGAATGAGATGATTTGATACCAACGTGTGTACGACAAATTCATACCGAGCTTCCGTGTTCTTACCCACAACAACAACAAGTCGCAGAGCGCAAAGGAAAGATGCTCCCATCTCATTCTGGAAATTAAAATACCTATTGGAGACCAACCCACCCCCCACCCCCCCGAGGGAAAGCCCTACAGAGCTGCACCCTGAGGCCAGCCTGCAGCTGATCGGAATAAATTGGCTGCAGATTGGTGTCCATCTCTTTGCGGCCATTTCACCTCAATTCAAGGAGTTTTAGACTTCTGGGAGGAAAAAATGCAGAATTACTCATATTATTATCGATGCCATCTTTGTCAGAGGAAGTATTTGGCCCAAGGGCTCCTCTGCTGAAGAGACTGGCTCCAAGCAATGCACAAATGCAAAGGCTGGCACGACCAGAAAAAGAACAGGGTGTCACAAGGAATCTCAAGAAGCCAAAATTGATTCACAATTGATCTCGGGGAGAAAAACAAACAAAGGAAAAAAAACCCTAGGCTTACCCTAGTCATTTGGAGCATCTTTCCGTTTGCATCAGTTGGAGATAGCCTGTTAGCACCAAGAATAGGCTGCTTCCTTCAGCACTGGAAGCCGCCTAGAAATGGTGCCCCCGATATTCAGGTAAGTGCCAATCCTCAATAAGAGGCCAAGTTTAAAGTAATACTTTCCATTTAAAAGTTCTGTGCTTCAAGAGGGACCATCAGAGCATGGCACCGGGCTCACTGCCCCCATCAAGCAGAGCACACGCACCTCACCCCACGCTGCTGTCCTGTTCTTGTCACACGCGTGTGCCCCACCAAGATCCTACACTTGTATTTACATCTGTCATGTCTTTGTTGCACTAAAACGATCCCTCTTCTGACTCTCTGGAAAAATTATAAGCTGGCTGCAGTACAAGAGCAAGATTTTACTTTTGGTCAAAGTTTGCACCCACAAAGTCCCACCCCCCCCCCCCCCCTCCCAGCACCCCAAAGTTGTTTACATTTAGTACCTGCCAGTCAAATGTAAGCTGTGTGGCTCACAGAGTGTCTGTGACCAAGCTCTTGAGTTTGTACTCTAGTGCAGCATTTGCTACAGTTACGGAGTCACTGCTGACACAAAAAAAAACAAAAAAAAAAACACCCTTTCCATCATTTTGTAAAGCTGTTGTCAGGAGGCACCTGGTTTGGTGAGTGTGTTCCTCAAGGAAAAGGACAGGAAAGTATGCCTTTTGGTTCCAATCATACTCAAAACAACAGAAAAAAGTGTGGGAGGGGTCAAAAAAAGGGAGAAATTAAGACAATTAATTAATTCCTGCCTCAAAGTAAGCAAGCATAGTGTGAGTGCAGCATCTGTATACAGAATAAATGAGCAAAAGGGATTGCATTCGTCCAGGTGCCTCCTGACGCTGTTGTTGAACAGGCTAAAAGGGAATTTTAAAAGTTTACAGTTTGATTTGTCTCACTCCTTTTGCCTGGAGATCAGGCCAAACATCAAGCATGTTGGGAGGGGCACAATTTAAAGCAACACCGTTTGACCAGGAGGCGTCCCAGCGACAGGCAGCAAGCGGTGCCTGAACAGAGCGATGGCGAGCAGCTCTCTGCAGCCCCAGGCACACGGACAGGGCTTCACCTGCCCTGCTCACCAAACGTCTGTACTGAGGTCGTGCTGGGCAGAAAATACGCAACGCTGCAGGAAATCAATCGTTCCCATCGAGCTCCAGAACTGTCCGTTCACGCATCTCAGTTTCCTATGGTTTAAGCCCAAATCCACACCTTACGCACATCCTGCTCAGCAGCGCTGACACCCGCCGCATCCCCTCGTGCCACGCAGAACGCGGCTCGTGGCACCTTCAGAGCTTGCCAAGTTCCTGAAGTTTCTAAGGGGAAAATTGAAGAGCGTCTCAAACGAGCTGAGCCACAGACTGCTGAGACCTCAGGGCCTCGCAAATGATCTCCTCCACACGAGTGGCACCGGCAGCGTTGCTGACAGCGGAGCAAACCCACCCCAACCAGGGGCACACGTGGAGGCTGCCCTGCTCACAGCATTTCTCATCGCTTAGTGTTGCAGAAAACTGAGCCCCTCTCATCTTTAGCTGCTCCCATAATCAGTCAAATCCCTTTAACCCCAGCAACCTTCATCAAAAAAAAAAAAAAAAAAAGAACAAAAAAGTTATATATGAACCCAAACAGGAAAAAAAAAAATATTTACAAAGTTTGTACAATATACACATCTGATTTTCTATGGGACACACTGCACCAGAGGAAAGAGGGCCACGGCTCTGAAACAAGTCTACATATCAAGTGCTGGAACTACTAATGGAGACTTATGGTAACCAGTCTTTAGTGTTCTGCTAGAGCATAGGGGTTTTCTTATGGCTCCTGCAAGAGATGACAGGCTACTCTTTCCTTCTGGAGCTACGATGCTGCACCTAATCAGCCCAGATTTTAAGTTGGTTTTGTTTTAAATACAGGTATTTACAGTGTGGGTGAACTGCAGATGCATATCAACTCCTCCAACTAAAGAAAAAAAAACAAAAAGGAAACAGAAGTTGAAGACAAAGTAGTATTACCAATAAGTTTCACCTCACAGCCCTGGCCTCGAGTACTTGGAGAGGAAGAGAGGGGGGAGAGAGGGGAACTTTGACCTGAAACCAAAAACGGCGGCTGACTCCTCGGGCTGCGTCAGAAAGGTGATGTTCTGAATGGTCTCATAGCATAAGGCACTTTGCACGAATAAGTAACAAGCTCTTTAGCTTCAAAACAGATGAGTAACCAGGGAGAAGTTGAAATGCACTCAGTCGACGGTTGGAGAATTTGAAATCGCAGACAAGCTCGTGTTCAAAGATTCTTCTCTTTCCAGGGTTTCTCTTCTTCCCTTGCTGCCCCTCCCACCCAAAGAAAAAAAAAATTTAAAACCAGCAGTTAGTGCAACTAATGTTCAATCAGCACACAGTGCAAACGAGTGGAAAAACAAAAAGACATTCCTCCTTTCATCTTCTTTCTTCCTTGCTGCCAAATTTAAAAAGAAAAAAGGCCGAGCTCTTTAGTCTTCATAGTTCCAAAATGAAAAGACGAAGAAAAACCCACAAAGAGAAGGGTATCCCCAGAGAAATGATGTGTCACAGATGTGGATCAAAGGGCTTCACCTTCTGGCATATGTAGTCAAAGCCTGAATAAATAAATACACAAATGACAACCTGCAATAAGTCAGCTCTGTGCAAAACCTAACAACTGAATCACGCTGACTGTGGGGCAGCTGCACAAAAGCCGCCGCCATGGGGTGCAGTTCAACCACTGCCCCTCAGATGTGCCTCTACCACCCAACTTCTCCCCCCAAGGAAGCCACCCAAGAACCCTGCCCAGCTTCACCGTTTGCTTTGCTTTATTCATTCTAAAACATGGAGAAAGCTCAGCCAGCAAAGTAGAGGCCACAGGTCAACCTGAATGACCAGCTGGCTAGGGCTGGCCTCGAGTTATTTCAAAGAGATACAGGCTTTGTTTTAATTTCCATTTTAATTAACAGACTGTTTCTTCAGCAATTTTTTTTGTCAACAGAGAGCAATTTCAGCAGCTTTGTTAGAATTCTTAACTTGTGATCTCTAAGAGAAGATACACCACAGAACTCCCTTCAACCCAAATGGTTTGTAGCATCTCAACAAGCAGCAGATCAAATACTGCCTGATTGCTGTGGCTGTGAGAATAACAGTTTCCTTGGATTGTGAACCGACTCAGCCTTCTTTCCTCAGACAGCCATCAAAAAGTCACACTTCCAAAGTCCTTGCCAAAGAAACCTCATTTTCTTTTTATGTTATGTAGACCTCAAGTGGCAACACAGATGAATTACAGCTCTGTTACCTGCTGTGCTTACTGCAAAAGTTGTATGAATCAAAGGATGCAAAACAAATGAGGCACCCATGGCTTGAACCTGCTTCTCTCAGCTGCTGAGGCGAGCAGGCTGTTCTGTTGGTGCTTTGTTCTTAGGAGAGCTGTGTTCTCTCCTCACCCTTCTAATCATCACTTTCTGCCCGTACTCCTCTTAGCTAAGAAATACAGACAGAATTCACTCAGCTGCTCACAGCCATCCTGTCTCTACACAGGATTCCTAGACAGGATCCCCCCATCTCCTCTGACAGCCTACTTCAAACCCTTGTTTTCACATCCCAACCACCTCAGCACAGCAGTTTCCCCTCCTCCCCCACAGCATCACTCCAACACAACTCCAAGTCAGCACATACGCACATGGTTACTGTTTCTCATCTTCTACAGGTTCACTGTGGTATTCTGCCACGTAAAGGCTCTTGTCAATGTTGCTTGGTATGGGTTTGATTTCAGTTCCCAACTGCTCCTCAATACTTTTCAGGTTGAATCGATCATCATAGGTGATCAAGTTGATGGCCAGGCCGAGATGTCCAAAGCGACCTCAAGAAAGAAACTCAGACTGAGTCACAGGAGGTCAACTGAAAAGATTCTGCAGTGCTGCTAACACAGCTCCCTGCTTATAAATGTCCACCTGGACCTGTGAGCTCACACCAACATCTGCTAAGGACTTCCTACTACCAGTAGAAGCCTTCCACTACTGCAGCATGGAACTGTGTGAGCAGGTTTGTTCTTCACTGCCATTCTCAGCACGTACCTGACACCACAAACACCTTGGAGCACTTGGAGACCAACAGACAAACAAGACCCACCACGCTTAAAAACCCATGGAAACCACGTTTTCAATACACAACCTTCCCAAACTGCAAACAATAAACATTGGCAAGTGTCATGGAATTAAAGCAAAAGGTGCCTTTTCCCCCCTCATTCTCTTTTTTTGTTTCTTTTTTTGTTTTTTTTTTTGGACTAGGCTCTTCAGGCTCGTTTAAAGAGCACAGCCATTTACTCGGGTATTTGTGAAGAAAATCCTATGAGATGGTGCCTGTAAGTAAACATCAGAGAAAAAACAAAGCTACTCAAAATAATTATCAAGTACAGTAACAGAAAGAATCCAGCCAAAGCCTAAGGAACGTTACAGCTATCAGCACAGTCATTCCTCAAAGATGTTTCTCTCCTCTCACCTGATCTGCCAATACGATGGAGATAAGTCTCTGCCAGCTTTGGAAAATCAAAGTTTATCACCACATTCACAGCTTGGATATCAATACCTCGGGTAAACAGATCTGAAAGACAACCCAGGTCACAGAGAGCATTAACTTCCAGGAAATCTAATGCTGGGCTGGGAAATTTAGGAAATGCACATTTCTGAACATGGGTTAGGACTAGTTCCTAAAGATAAGCTCTCTGTATATCAAGACATTTTGCATACAGTTCTGTTACAGCATCCTCCTGCTCTTTATCCATTTTAAGCATAATAAAATAAGAACTATCAAGACATCAAATCTTCAGATCTAGGTCAACAGAAGTAATTCACACCAAGCCAGTTTTTGCACATGGAGTCTATTTCTGAGCTGGTCACCTTATATAAGCACCTCATCAATTAAGGCATGCACTGCCATTATCACAACAGACTTAAATGTGAGCTACATCCCACTAACTTAACTTTCTGTTTCATTTCAAGTGAGTTTTGTTAGCAGCTCTAAGATAACTCAGGTCATATACAGAGCAATCAAAACTGCAAAGCATTTAGAAAAAATGAACTACAAACATTTATGGAATCAGTAAATCATTATTCAATAATCCTAGCCACCATTCCACCTACAGTGCTCCTATTTCATATCCAGCAATTTACAGAACACTCAAAAGTTAGAACATACAGAAAACATAACTGAAATACAAAGTATGACCACAATGAAAGGATTTGTTAACATGCTGCACCACCATGGTTTGACTACAAGAGAAAGCCTCTATGCCTCTCCATCAGCAGAGGGGTGGCCAGCAGGGACAGGGAGGTGATTGCCCCCCTCTGCTCTGCTCTTATGAGGCCCCACCTGCAGCACTGCATTCAGGGCTGGAGCCCCCAGGACAAGAAAGACAGAGAACTGTTGGAGAGGGTCCAGAGGAGCCACAACGATGATCAGGGGCTGCAGCACCTCCCCTATGAAGACAGGCTGAGGGAGCTGGGCTTGTTCAGCCTGGACAAAAGAAGGCTGCGGGGTGACCTCATTGCAGCCTGCAGTACCTAAAGGGAGCCTGCAAACAGGAGGGGAATCAACTCTTTGGAAGGGTAGATAACTGCAGGACAAGGGGAAATGGTTTTAAATTGAGGGAGGGAAGATTAAGGTTGGATGTCAGGTGAAAGTTCTTTACAGAGAGTGGTGAGGTGCTGGAACAGCTGCTAAGGGGGGGGGCTGTGATGCCCCGTCCATCCCTGGAGGTGTTCAAGGCCAGGCTGGATGGGGCCCTGGGCAGCCTGGGCTGCTGTGAAATGTGGAGGTTGGTGGCCCTGCATGTGGAGGGGGGTTGGAGCTTTGTGATCCTTGAGGTCCCTTCCAACCCTGGCCATTCTGTGATTCAGGAGCACTGCAGCCCATTACACACAAGTATGACAAAAATTCTCTTACTAAAACAGATAAGTTTTATCACTAAACAATTGATCTGTTATACCTGGGCTAACGGCTACTCCATCACAACCTTCAGAAACAGAGAAATGCAAAGGAACTCTTACCAGTGCAAACAAGATTGCGGCATAAGCCATTTCGGAAATCATGGAACACGCGGTTGCGATGCTCCTGGAAACACAGCAGGAAAAATCCAATTAAAGAACAGCTCGACTTGCAGCTGAGTACTCAATTTACAGCCACAAATCCCACCCTCACCTCCTCATGAACACCAGCTGACTCAAAGCTGCTCGTTCTACTTCTCAACACCAGAATTTTTTGGTGCCCAAAGCGTATCTCCATTCCCAATGCTTTGACCATCATCTCTCCCAGCCCCGTGCCAAATTCTATGTATTAATATCTTACATCCTAAAAATGTATTTGTGAGCATTTACATAAAATCTGGAAACATCCTTCCTTTAAAACTTGCAGTAACTCCATTTTCCAAGGCAGCGTGTTTTCCACCACTGGATCAGTCAGTGATGGATGAGCCAAGTGTCTGTGCAGCCTCTCCTCTTATCAACAAGCCACTCCGGACCATGCAAAGATTAACTTGTATCATTTCCAGAGAGAGAAATGAACAAGTTGCAGCATCCCATCAAACAACCAACCACCATTTTTACCAGAAAGATGAACTATTGACAAATCAGAGAAATGAAAAATCAGGTCTCAAGCAACCCATCAGCACATCTGTGTCCTCAACACTGACATCACCTTCACTTCTGCTTCAATTCCTGCTCCACATATAACCCAGCAAATGTTTGTCTTATCTGTCAGGCCAATAAACAGCTAGGTTACCATTAAAGCTGTTGCTTTCTTTTGTTCTTGCTTACTTACAAAATGAAAAATATTTTAAAGTCCTACTGCCTTGTGCACATCACTTCGACCTCCTGTGATACCCCAGTTCACTGGCTAACAAGGAAAGCTACAGCATGAAGCTTGAGGATGTGAGCTACTCTCCAAGTCATGTAAGTCCTTGTGCACCAAGGCCACGTTGATATTTTTCATGGCAAGGCCACAGGTGCCAAATTGCTATGCAGTAGTTGGCACTTCTACTAAGAGCTCTGATCAAAGCTGCCTCCCCGACTTCTCAGATTGCCCTACAGCATGGAGCAAGAAGTGCTGCTTGCAGTCATGCTGTGTGCTCACCTCAGCTGAGTACTGCTCTGTTCGGATTCCTAAATACCAACTCATCAGTTTGGAAAGAGCTAAGTGCAGAAAATGTCTAGGACACAAAGTGGAACCAAAACAAAATACATTTTCAGAGGACAGGTAAATTTAAAGCAAGCCTGAGACTTTGTTCAGCTATGCAGTAGAGCTGAGAAGAACCTAGGCAGCAACTGCTGTAACCTCATACTTACCTGCCTCATTTTAGCATGGATGTAGAAGCAGGAATAGCCCAACTGGGAGATCTTTTTGGCTAGCAATTCAACCCGCTGAGAGGAGTTGCAGAAAATGATCGACTGGTTGATCTGGAGCTGGACATATAATCACAGCATTCAGTAAACACAGAATTTTAACAGCAAATCTAAGGCGTGCATCTAAATCCCTTTCAAAAAGAAGGGAGAACAGGAGCTGCAAGCAATTCATACCATATATATTTCTGAACAACAGGGGGAAAAAATTGCAAAGCTTTGCACCACAAAAGTGCAGGACAAGAATCATTTCTAATTTCAGCTTATACAGCAGCATTAGTGCATTTTGTCAAGGAAAAACCTCCATCACCTTAAGTCTTATTATTCATTTTGAAGGGGCAAAATGCTTCTGTAGGTTCTTGGCCCTATCTCTTACCCTGGAAAACAGCGTGTTGAGGCAGTGAACCTTCTGACGCTCGGTGACGTAGGCATAGTACTGAGTAACTCCCTTCAAGGTCAGCTCCTCCATCAGATTAATCTCATAGGGTTTCTGCAAATGGGAATTCTGAAAGACAAAGAAAAATCAGGCAGGCGAATCTACATGCAAAGCAGCATAAAGACACCCGATCCTCTGGCACGCCTCCATTCCTCCAAGGCAAGAATGCATTTCCCAGCCACTCCGTATTTGCCATAAGAGAGGGCAGGTCAAATGTCAAGAAAGATTACTTGCAACTCCAAGGCACCAGGCCACACTAAAAGCAGTTACCTTTTATCCCATATTTAGGCTGATATATGAAATCAAAAAAGCAGGGGTGCATAAATAATAGCAGCAACCACACAGCACTCACTGCAGCACCCTGTGCACAACGCCACATCGTGTGTCAGAGATTCCAGCTGCACTCACCATGAACTTCTGTACACTCAGAGGGAAAGTGGCTGAGTAGAGCAAAATCTGTCTGTTTTTAGGTAGCGTAAGAATAATGTCTTCCATTATCTGAACAAAATCTTGAGACAGCAATTTATCTGCCTGTAACAACAGAAGCACAAGACAAGACATTAAAGAGATGGGACAAGATTCCAGTCTCCTGGTAGTGTTACACTGCAGGAGGAAAAGATCACCAGGAATAGCCTCCTCTCCAGCTTCATGATGGGATTGCTCCCTTTGGATTAAATGCTACACTCTAAGAGACATCTGATTTAGCTGCTGGAAACAGGATTCACCACTTAAAGAAAGTTTACATTTCCTGGTTTTCAAAACTGTTTTCAAAACAGAATCAAATTAAAGAAAAATAAATAAAATCCAAGAGCCTTCACACAATTGTTTTCTCAACCTTCTCACTCAGAAGCCTGTAATCTCTTAGACATTCACAAATCACATGCCCCATCCTGCAGGCATTCAAGGCCAGGCTGGATGTGGCTCTGGGCAGCCTGGTCTGGTGGCTGGTGACCCTGCACACAGCAGGGGGTTGGAACTGGGTGATCATTGTGCTCCTTTGCAACCCAGGCCATTCTGTGGTTCTATACAATCAGTTTATATGAACTTGTGCTAAGCACCACCCAGTTTTGTTTAGTTTCAGTTATGCACTGAAACTAAACAAAATGCATTCCCTCTATTCAGAAGTGACTGTTCATCTGTTCCACAGCAACAAAAAAGTAAACAGAGAAGTAAAACTTTCTTAGGTGGCTTTCCTAAAAAATTCCCTTCTTCTGCCAAAATACCTTCTCAAAACACCAAGAAATGAGTTAGTTTGATATCCTCAAGCAAAGCTACTTGTTGCTGTGCATAACGAGGTGGCTGGCTAAGACACATTACTGCTTTAACCTTTTAAAGTGAAAAGTGTTTCAAGGTGAGCAACTTGCCTCATCCAATACTATCATCTGGACATGCTCAACTTTTGCTACTCCTTTCTTGATGAGATCGAGGATTCTTCCAGGGGTAGCTATCACCACATGCACTGTGGAGTCAGAAGAGCAAAAAAAAAAAAAAGTTAAGGCAACTCAGGCAGTGTTTCCAGCATTCAGAGACATGTTTTATACCAAGGGTTTGAGAAAATAACTAAATACTGCGACAAAGACACATCACAAACTATTTTCTAACAAGCAAACAATAACACAGGCATAAGAGAAAAGTACAAATTCTCTGACTCAGGACAAAAGCCCCAAACAAACAGTGATTGTAATGCAGCAAAGTGCTCCAACCTGTATCATCAAGCCTCATTATGTCATCTCGCAAATTGGTTCCTCCTGTTGTTGCCATCACTTTGGCACCTCCCATGTGTTTGCTGACTTGGATACAGATTTGACTGACCTGCAGGGCTAGCTCACGGGTGGGAACAATCACCATTGCTGAAAGTTAAAAGTACAGCATGGATTACTACCAACACACAGTCTTCAATACTTCCCTGCAGAACACGGAAGCTTCACAAAAGCCACGTTTCACAGTGTTGCAGTTCCACTATGGATATCCTGATAGATATCTACAGAACTCCTAGCAGCTGCTTACAACAAGATAAATGCCAAACACCCCCCCCCGACACTCGCTCCACACAGCTCTCCCAGCCACCACACTTGTTTATTACTCCAAATCCACTTTTTGGGGCAGGAAGGTAAAGCCTGGAAGATCGCTTCCAATTCAAGTTCCTTAAATGAACCGTACAACTTTGACAATTCCACCTTCCCTCCACCATTCCCCACATCCTTGCTTTACAAGTACAAGCAGACAACCTACATCACTGCATTTCATCAACCAGCTTTGGATTCAAGTCCAGACAGTGAGCACCACCACCACCCGCATGCAGCTCAGGCAGACCCGTCCCAACTGACCTTGTATGTTGTCCTTCTTTAAGTCTAGCCGTTCAAGTAAGGGAATGAGGTAGGCTCCACTCTTGCCCGTTCCATTTTTCGCTCTAGCCAAGATATCCCTACCAGATAAAGCAATGGGGATGCTCTCCTCCTGCAATGACAGTCAATGCATGAACAATCACGAGCTGGGCTCACTGAAGAGATGAGCAAAATCCACCTCTCCTCACTAACAGTGTAACATTATGTGTTTACTCTGTGAACAGAACATCCTGCAAGTACTGCGCACTCGCAGTGGGAAAGAGTTAAACCTATCAGCAAAGAGCTCTCCAACATCACACAATACTTCTGCTCCCAGTGTCCCAAATAAAGTTCTTATCCTGCCCAGTGTCACTGGACAGGACACTGCAAGCATGGGAAACCCATAGTGACACATCAGCAAAAAGTAATTAAAAAAAAAATCAGAGAAAAAAAATTGAGGAGGCAGCGACAGACACTTGCAAACTCCTCCAACAGAAAAAGATGCACATCTCTCAATGCTGGAAATGCATCAGCCCATGTAATTCCCAACCTGCACGCTTCTGTGACAGACTTTTCAAAAGAAAGCCTGCTGGTTTTGAGACTTCAGCCATGCAGTATTCATATTCAGGCCACATGTATTCTTCATTTTGCTTTCTTTTGCAGCAACACCTGAACAACCCAAGTATCTACAATCTTTTCATTTGGAAAAGGTGATGTTAGAATCTGTTTCAAAGCAGATATGTTAGAAATAAGCCATAGCTTTCTCCATTCCTTACAGACAAAGTGGCCCAGCTCTCAATGATAACTCTCCAAGCCACAATTAAAAACAAAACTGACACTATCTTGCCCCCAACAGCAATTTCACACACATCAACAGTTACTCATAAAACAACTCTTAAAAGCAAGAGGAAGGGACAGAAAACTTACTGACACATTACTCTCTCTCCTATAATCTCCATTATGACTCCTTCCAGATGCTTACGATAAAAAAGCCAAGAATGGTGATAAGGCCATACAGATACCCCTGTAACAACTGATATGCAACCTACAGCAAATCAAAGTTTCCCAGGAAATGTGTAAGAACAGCCCTGTTCTCCCTGTGACTGCCATCACTACTGATGCTACTGAATGAGGAACACACTGATGCCTCCAGAGTGAGAAGGAGACGTTGGTTTCTCTAAAATCTCAGTCAATGCCAATCTCTTTGTCAGCCAACAGCTATGATTTACTTGGACACCAGTGTTTCTTCCCTCCTGCAGTCACAGAATCCTGCTGTTCAAACCCCCAGTTCCCCAAGCCATGACACAAGTGTTCACCATTTAAGCACAAGTAACATCAGTGAGTTTGTAAGAATTAAGCTGTTGCTTAGAACTGGTCTGTTTATTTTAACAACCTGAATAGGAGATGGCTTTTCCCAGCCCATTTCAAAAATTCCCATCAGCAACTCCCGTTTCAAACAGTAATCTTCAAACTCATTTCCTTTTGTGGAGGTCACGTCCTGGATAAGCAGAAAAAGCACATCCATAAGATTAGGTCACACAACCACAGCCATCAGCCAGAGCAGAGGAGAGGCTGCTCATGCAGGAAGATCAGAAAGCATGTTCCACTACTAGACACGAGTTCTCACTTCTCCATGCAGTATCACACAGTGCAGAATGATCAATTTTCCAAAACCCAAAAACACTCCTGTGAATCTACAGGACATCTTTTGATTTCTGCCTTGCAGAAGGCATTGGACCCAAGCTGCAGGAGTGATAAGAAATAATTAAACTAAATTACTGAGCTTCACAAAAGAAGCATCTAATGCTAAGAAGCAACTAATTTTAAGAGACCAAATTAATTTTACAAAGCAATTTCTCATTTAAAACAGCTGAGAAAAAGTTTAAGTGCTATGGATCTTATACGACTGGTTCACTGCAGCTTCTCCCACAACCTCCATTCCTGCAATTCAAGCATCCTTACAGAAGTTTTGATTCTCAAATCCTTTGGAGGGAGTTTTAAAGTCTTCTTCCAGTCATCGCCAGGTCTACAGCAAAAGAAACAAACAAAAACAAAGGCTGGTTTAGCAACTCTGTTTTGCATTCTGATTTTCTTGGCAACAGTGATTAACATGTAATATTTTCAGCTCCTGTGTGCTGAAAGCATCTGCAAGTACAAGCTCCAGTCCCTTCTGAGCAAAGTGGGATGCAACAGGCAGGAAATGGTAAACAAAGGCACTGAGCAGCCTGCCAAGTGCAAAGCAAACTTGGGAAATCTGTGTCCTGTCATGATTCCAGCCCCATTTTTGGGCCACTGAATCAACCCACAAGAACACAGGTTTCAAAGTGAGCTCTGACAGAGCATTGTCAAAGTAATAAATCCACACAGGTATTTTCTACTACTGGTGTTAAAAAGTAAAAAGACCCACATTTCTGAGTTCAGGAACTGTCTATTTTATACCCATGAGTAATGTAAGATGAAAATATTTCTGGGGAGAAAACCAAGTGAACACACACTACATGTTGAACATGTTCTCAATTTGACTCTCAGTGAGATTCAGGCACTTTTCCCCTCTGAAAAGACCCACATGGAAGAGCACAAGTTCTCCTCCTCCCCAGTCCCAGTCAGAAATCAGTTCTGATGACTTCTGACGAGTTCTGCCCCTCAGTTTGGGTAGTAACCCTGTTTAAAAACACAACTGAATATGAGCTCAGCAAACATAAAGAGCAAGAGCATCCCATGACACACTCTCTCCAGCACAGATTTTCTTCACCAATAACTGAGCAGCAAAACAGAAATTCATGTTGCTTGGGAGGAGTGGCAACTATGGGAGGAAAAAAGTGACCTGCGATTGTAACATTCAAACCTCACAGATCTGAGGGAATTTCCAACCAGCACGAATCATTAGCACACTTCCAACAGCAGTTTGATGGGAGAAGAGAAACAAACAAGAGCGTCATAAAGGTACCACCTTGATATGATCCCTTAGGCTCTAATTGAAATTGGAGTGTTACACAGGGAATGCAACACCACCATTTACGTTCCATGACAAAAGAGAACCAACTGGGAAGAGTTTCTCACCACAAGAGATCTGCAACAACTAACCCCACAGCAAGCAAAACTGGACTGAGATTAGGCTGTGCTTCCTCCTTTGTCTTACATTTCTGTTCCTTCCCACACCACTTAAAATGGGCAAAGAAAACAGGATGCTGCTGCTCAGTGGGCTGCCACTGACAAGCAGCCACACGTTCTGAAAAAGCAAAGCATCAAGTTCAATTTTCACAACAAATAAACTGCAAAGGTAAACGTCAGTGAGAAGCTCACACCTGGAAAGACAGCTTTCTTTTCATATCACACATTCTAGGACACTTCTGTCATCAACACCATAAAACAGAAGCAAACTTTTTAGAAGCACGTTCCCAGAAGGCATCACTCATGTAAGCATTACTCTTAAGGCACTCGATACCAATACTCACTTAATAGTGGTGGTCATGCTCTGTGCTTGCTGTTGGGTGCCGTTGTTGATCGTGTTGGCATTTTTCAGCTGGTTCATCTGTTGCTGAGTCTGTGTGCCTCCACCTCCTGGGCCCCCGCTGGGTTTCACAGGGCCTCTCAACTGCCCATTCTGACTGGATAGACCCATTATAACAGGGTTCTCTGTTCTGGCCGTGCTCATGTTTCTATGTTTAAAGATGTCTTTTTAGACTTCAAAACTTTGAAAGTCAGTACAGAAACTGTAATAACAGTTTATTAGACTCTCCAAAATGAAGAGATAAATAAGTCTTGCTCAATATATGAGTCCTTTATTGCAATGCAGGCAAGCACCTGTAAGTCACTCAAAAGTAAAGTAGTAACTTGCTCTGATGCACTGTGGATCAACTTTTTTTTTCTTTAAAAAAAAAAAAAAAGCCCTCTAACAAAGCTGAGTTATATCAGAATTCACTTGCTTCAATCTGAAAGAGAAGCAGACAATCACAATTAATACACGGACTTCTGCACACACAAATCCTCCAGTTTGCCTCTGTATTCTCAAACAGCCCACAGAACAGCACGTTATGCAAACATCACCTCTGCACAGGCAGCACAACGCAGTTCTTGCTTTTCTGTTTCCTCAGCACAATTAGACACATATCAAACCTTTTCTCCCTGCTGTGAAGCTGAGCTGAGGTCACCAGAGATGATTCTGTAAACAGCTGTGCTTTCAGTAGCCTTGCAGGGACTGCTTGAAAAACACTACCTAGGCACAAATTATCTCAAGTGCTTCGCCTGTTCTTCAAGTTCCTTTTCTGCTGGGACACAGAAAAACCACCATTCTAAGCAACAACGTTAGGCACAAGGCTTTGACAGAAGGCAAAGTGACAGCATCAAATGGAAATTAACATGAGGCCTAAAGAAACATTTGACTCCAAATGCCCTTTTCACATAAAAAGTGAAATCAAAATGATCTTTAAAAATAAAAAAGAAAGAAAACCCTCAGCCAACTTCCTCCAGCTCTCAAGTTCTGACAGCTTATTCACAAACTCCTAAACTGGGTATTGATTGAACTCCATTCAAAACAGAGAAGCCCATGGTATCTTCAAGCTGAATGCACACAGCAGCTTCTCACTGAATCTAAGCAACCATGGCTAAACGAAGCAGTTGGTAAAATACATTTATAGCATGTATCCAACTCCCTGCTCACATGCTCTGCATGACGTTCTCTTCCAGCTGCCCGCACAAACTGCACATAGGAGCTGGAAGCAGACTGTCTTCAGAGGGCTCCTCCAACCTGAACCGCTCCATGGTTTGGCACACAACTTAACCCTGACGCTGCATTTGCCAAAAACATTGCTAAAGCCACAGAGATGACACAAAGTCTGCAGCGTAGGGACAGAAAGCAAGTATGGCCCAGAGACCGATAGCTCCTTACAACGCGTTTAAGGAGCCAATTCACTTCTGGTTCAAAACCCTCCAGAGGAACAGAAAGTGGTGCTGCTGGCCTGGGCAATTTGTCCCAACACGCAGAAAATGCAAGGGAAAAACTGCTTGCCCCTCCCCCCACCCTCCTAAAGCATTTCTACAGAAAATAAAAGATGTACTAGAGAGCATTTCAAGAGATTGGAAAAGAAACTCAAACTCCTCTCACGCTGCCCAGCTGTTTCCATGTGCATCAATTATAAATTCGCAGTGAAAGTTTAAAATCGGGTCCTTTTCCTGCTTACTTTCCTGACTAAAACCAGTTACAGATTCTCTTTGGGAAAAGGATTCTGCTTCCCATTAACTTGGTAAAAACCACGCGAACCAGGAAAGTAACGGCAGGCACCGATCGCACCCTGATCCGAGCAGCAGCAAATTCTCAAATATTTGCAGCACGGAGAACCTCCCGGCTCCCTGAGGCTCACAGCTACGCTTTAAAAGGACGCAGACCAAAGCACAAAACAACACCTCGCCAAACGCAGCGAATCACCGCCCCGCTCGCCAAGAAGCGCCACCATTTCACGAACGGCCCAGCGGAAACAGGGCCCCGCACAACAACTTTCCTTCGGGCCGCCCCCAGCCCCATCCCGCCCCGGGATCGCCGCGGAGCCGTACCGGCCAGGCCCCGCGCAAAGCGGCCGCGCCACCGGTAGCCGCACGGCGCCCACCGCGTGCTCCGGACCCGGGCCGCGCTGCGGCGGCTCTCCCTGCGCGGCACGGAGCGGCGCGACCCGCCCGAGGCAGCTGCGCCACAGCGGCACCCCCCGCCCGCGAACAATGG